CTGCGCTTTTCCAGGCTGAAGAGTCTCATAGCTCTCAGCCTCTCGTCATAAGGTCTGTTTTTCTGACCTCTAATCATGCGTGTGGCTCTCCTCTGGACTGTCTCAAGCTTCTCCACATCTTTTTTCAATTGTGGAACCCAAAACTGGATGCAGTACTCCAGCTGCAGCCTCACCAAGGCCAAGTACAACAGGAGAATGACATCCTGGGATTTGCTTGAGAAGCATCTATGGATACAAGCCAGGGTTTTGCTCACTTTACTAGCTGCAGCATCACATTGAAGGCTCATGTTCATCTTGTGGTCAATCCTGACCCCCAAGCCCCTCTTGTCCATAGTGCTAGTCAGCATAGCACTGCCGAGCACTATAGAAATGCTGTAGGTTTTTCCTCCCAAGGTGGAGAACCTTGCATTTTTCTGTGTTAAACACCATCAGGTTTTCGTCCACTCGTTTCATGAGTCTGTCCAGGTCAGCCTGGATCACCCTCCTGTCCTCAGGTGTGGATGCTTTACCCCAAAGTTTGGTATCATCGGCGAACTTGGCCAGTCCACTTCTGACTCCAATGTCCACATCATTAATGAAGAGGTTGAACAAAATAGGTTGAACAAAATAGGTCCAAGGACAGAGCCTTGAGGGACCCCACTGGTCACAGGGCACCGTGACAATTGACTTCTGTCAACCACCACCCTCTGGGTCTGACCACGGAGCCAATTCCCCAGCCAGCGGATCATGGTGGACCCGAGGCCGCAGTTGGCCAGTTTTGCCAAAAGGTAATTATGGGATACCAGATCAAAGGCTTTTTTGAAATCAAGATATATGACATCAATCTCTTCTCCCTTGTCCAGGTGATAGGTCACCCGGTCATAAAAGGAAGTGAGATTGGTTAAGCATGACTTACCCGCAACAAACCCGTGCTGGCTGTCCCTCAGGGTGTTGCCATCAGCCAGTCCATTGAGGATGGCCTCCTTGATGATTTTTTCTAAGACGTTCCCCGGGATAGAGGTCAAGCTGATGAGCCTGTAGTTTTCTGGATGCACTTTCCTCCCTTTCTTGAAGATGGGCACCACATTGGCCTTCTTCCAATCTTCAGGCACTTCACCAGAGCGCCAGAAGCTCTCGAAGATCCGTGCCAGGGGCTAAGCTATGATGCAGGCCAGCTCCTTGAGTACTCTGTGGTGTAAACTGTCAGGGCCAGCTGACTTGAAGGTGTCCAGCCTCTCAAGCTGTTCTTTCACGAGGTCAGCATTGATGGAGGGCAAGGAAGCACCCTCACTTAGGTGTTCCTGTCCCGTAATGGACAGGGGTGTCCCATGGGACTTGCGAAAGACCGACACAAAGTACCCATTTAGTAAGTTGGCTTTTTCCCGGGCATTGGTCGTCAGTTCTCCCTTCTGGTTTAGCAGGGGTCCAATGTTGCCCTTGCTTTTCCTCTGGCTCCCCACATATCTAAAAAAGGACCTTTTATTGATCTTGGTACTTGTAGCCAGTTGGAGTTTCCATTGCAGCCTTGACTTTCCTGGTTCACTCCCTGCAGGTCCGGACCAGTGCAGTATATTCCTCCTTGGAGGTGGATCCTTCCTCCATCCTTTGTAGGTCTGTCTTTTTAGATGCAGGAGGACCGCTAGTTCCTTGTTGAGCCAAGGGAGCTGCTGTGCCCTCTTGCTGCCTTTCCTCCGAGACAGAATAGCCTTAGCTTGTGCATCTAGGATCGTTCCCTTGAGGAGTGACCACTCTTCCTGGACTCCCCTCCTCTTGGGGTCGTGGTCCCTTAGGGCTTCACCGACAAGTCTCCTGAGCTTGTCAAAGTCAGCCCTCCTGAGCTGTGTACTGCTGACTGACTTGGCAGCTTTTCGGTGGATGGTGAAGGTAATCAGCTTATGGTTGCTGTCACCCAGCTTCCCTTTGATTATTAGGTCACTGATTAGGTCATCCCCAGTTGCCAGTACCAAGTCAAGCAGTGCTTTGCCTTTCATTGGCCTGTAGACTTCTTAAGTCAGATAGAGCTCATCCATGCACGTGAGGAAGCTATGCGACCATTCAGATTTGGCTGAGCGCTCTTCCCACGAGATGTTTGGGTAGTTGAAATCCCCCATGACAACCATGGACTGGAAGCGTGCGGCCTTAGTCAATTCCTTGGCGAAATCCTGGTTAATCTCTTGATTCTGGGAGGGAGGTCTGTAGTAGACTCCCACCATTGTATACCCTGTGCCATGCTCCCCACGGATTTTAACTCAGAGGGTCTCTAATCGTTCACCCTGTGTGCCGATGTCAGCTTGTAGGGACATGTAGCTCTCCTTGACATAGAGAGCTACACCTCCCCCCCTTTTGTCCACTTGATCCCTCCTGTACAGGGTATAGCCATCTATACCTGTAGTCCAGTCATGGGTGGAGTCCCACCAGGTCTCCATTATCCCTATGACATTGTAATTGTTTGTGTTTATTCCCCAAGCTCCTGGCATTGGTGTACAGACATGCAAGTGTCCCCTTGGGGGCCCTTGCCTTGCCCACAGCTTGCTTTAGGTCTGGGGCAGGGGTGGGTTCCCTTAAGTGCCTTGGCCTGCTGGCTTTGCAAGGGTTGCTCAGTGAGCCAGCAGTGGCAGTAGACCCCCTCTCCCCTGACGGGCTTAGTTTAAAGCCTGCTGGAGCAGGTCATCCAGTCTGGCTGAGAAGAGCCTCCTCCCCAGCAGAGGTAGGTGGAGGCTGTCCCTTCCCAGCAGCTCACTGCCTCTCTCACCAAAGAGCAGACTGTTGTCATGGAAGCTGAAGCCTTCCCGATGACACCAGCACAGTAGTCTTTGGTTCACTACCTGGATCCTCCTCTCCCCTCCTCACCCCATAGCCCAAAACTGGAAGGATTGAGGAAAACACCACTTGCGCCCCCAACCCCATAAGCCCCACTCCCAAATCCCTGTAGTGCTTCATGACCCAGCTGGGCAGGTTCTGAGCCATGTCATTGGTGCCCACATGGATAAGAAGCATAGGGTAGTGGTCAGGGCTGGAGGAGTTTAGGGATCTTCTCTGCAATGTCTTGGATGTGGGCTCCCAGGAAGCAGCAGACTTCCTGGACTAAGGGGTCAGGGCGGCAGATTGCCCCTTCCATCCCCCTCAGGATGGAGTCTCCCATGACAAACACTTTGCGTTTTATCTTAGGGAGAGTGGGGGCAGTAGCTTCAGTTGAGCCTGTGTTGCCTGTGGGAGCTGGCAACTTAACAGGCTCTGCTGGGGCTGCAAGAGGTTCATACCTGTTGCAAAGCTCCAGCGGGGCAGGGACCTTGGTGTGGCAGGCCTTGGGGCCCTTGACCACCTTGGTCCAACCCCTTGGCTGGACAGCATGAGAGGTCCCTGTGAATTAAGGTGCATTACACTGTCGAATATGCTAGAATTAATGAGCAATATGCTGCTGACACATGCAAACGTCAACACCATTAAAGCAGTGCAAAAGCATTTAACCCGCTTTAAAGTGTTGTGCACACATGCCCTGCATTTTGTTTACACACACTCTAAGATTTTTGCCTATAACAGATACCTGTTAAGATCCTGCTTCCTTTTTTATATACAAATTGCAGCTGCAAAAAATTTTAATTGGGAATAATTGCTAGGAGGATACTGATTGGGAAGCAACGTCAAACATATCTTCAACAATTACATACTAGGGTATCATCACAGGTTAAAGTATTAAAATGCTTTATTTAGTCATTGTTATAGGTGAAATAGGCCCAGCAGACTGGTGGAAGTGAAATGAATGCTGTATGAAGATCAGAGCTCATGATCCAAGCTCTGCTTACAGTTCTGGGTCTGACGGGTACTGTTAAAGATAGAGACTTAGTACTGATTCCTAGAGGGTGAGAGATCATGTCATTCTCTAACAACCCATTTCCAGTTCTTTCATTTCAAACGAATATTAAACTACAGGGGAAAATTGGGAAGATGAGGAAATACCAGTACTTTTAACTTCAGTGCTTAATTGCTTTGAATGTATAAATCATGAAAAGCGACTACAATTTGCTTAAGGTTTTATGTGCAGAAAGGTTACATAACGTAGGGTTTTGTTTTTGTTAGTTTTACTAAATAGGATGAATAAGCAAATTATTTCCCATTTGTGGTTGTTTGTGCTTCTAGGAATACAAGGCTTTGTTTGAAGGGGTAGGGAATGGCACAGGAGAAAAGACATTGGAAGATGCATTTTTTGAACATGAGGTAAGATACTGCACCTCTAAATGTATTAACAAGTTAGTGGTTTTGCCCGTCTGTGACAGGAATTGCTGGTGCTCATTCAGCTAGTGGCACTGCTCCTTCCTGAACCTGTATTCATACAATGGCCCATCATAATGTTCAAGCATAATGCTGCTACAGCCACCATTTTTGGAAAAAACATAAGGCTTATATTTTTAAATAAAATAAAAGCAATAGCACCCTTTGTAAGAATGTGTGTAGAGGAACAGGCTCTGCTAGCTTAGTCAAATTTCATGCCAACTAATTATATACTTCTTCCTAAGTTTCCCCTTGCCTTACCCACTGGAGAATGTATTCATTAACTATCCTACCCTTCTGTATAAAATTTCTGTGATCTATTTAAATACTTACCACAGTTAACTCAGGGACAGTATTTCAATCACAATTCTGTTGATGAGGTGGTTGTACATAGCTTCTTACAGACAGTTAAGCTAGTAAAATACTTAAGAAACTTTAGGAATGAAAGGTGATATTTAAATGTCAAAGTACTCCACTACAGTATATTCAATACTTCATATTTTTCTTTAGGTAAAACTGAATGTGCTTGCCTTCAATAACCAATTCCATTTTGGAGTATTCTACGCTTATATAAAGCTGAAGGAACAAGAAAGCAGAAATGTTGTATGGATTGCTGAATGCATTTCTCAAAGACACAGAACCAAAATCAACAACTACATTCCTATTTTCTAATTCAGAGAATTTATAATTGCAGAGTGCACTTACTGCATATTAAGGGGAAATTGTTTATTTTAAAAAAGTAATTATTATCAGATTTTGCCAAATGAATCAAGTGATAGTTATCTTTACACATAGCACAATGTGAACAAACCAGAACCAAAATCATAGATGCAAATTTTTTCACTTAAGAAACATCTGATAGATTTGTGTACACTATTTTGACTGAGAAACAAAATAGAACAGTGATCCTGTTTTAATTTAATAAATAAAATGCCTATAAATTCTTGGAAATACATTTTCTAAGCATGAAACTTACAAATATCTCCAAATGGTTTAATTTGGAATTAGCTAACAAGCTACTTTCTCTAAGCTCAGGGTTCATTATGGGCCAGAAACCACCATTTGAATCTTAGATCATGGTTTTCAGTCTCTTCTTGAGGGGTATTACAATGGAATATGGAAGACCAACAGAGAGACAAAGTTTGAGGTTACTTTGTAGCTCTCCTGAGTTTTTTTTTTGCCTACATTAAACTTCAGGAAATCCCTGGAACACATGGCCAGTACCACAGAGGTTCCAGATACTGTCAAACCTCAAATACTTCTCCCTTGCTTTAGAGACATATTATATTAGTGAGATTCCACCAAGATGGCTTTACTTTATTCCTCTCAGGCCATATCCAGAGTGGTGCGGTAGATGTGTTCTACATACTTTTCTCTGTGCAGACTTACAAATATCTATACTCTCCAACACTGTTTAATATCAACGTTAGAGATTTTCAACTGGGGTTCATGGCACCCTTACAAGGACAGACTTGTAATGGTGCCATGGGGTCTGAGGAGATAAGTACTTGCTCTTCCCCATCTCCTCCTATCCTGGTCCCTGTGTGAGGAGGTAAGTACTAGCTTGTTCCTGTTGTCTCCCCATTTGCACCTGCCCCTGGGCAGGTAAGGGAAAACACTGTAATAAATAACTTTGTTTTTTAAATGGGGTACTGCTAAATTCAGGAAAAGTTATGAACTGGTTCCTGGAGTCTACAGAAGTTGAGAACTACTGATCTCTACATTGTTACCAAAGGAGGGTATGGAACATAAACGAACATATCAGCCAACTCTCTAGCACCTTTATGCTAGGCATAAAGAGCATCTGCTTTGAGCTATTTACAGGCCTGGCTCAGATCAACCACTGAAAATATAGCAGACAGTTGAAGTTAAATCATGGCAGGAAAAAGGTGATTTAGCTGAGGAGAGGGGAGCACTTTGAACACTTTTTACTTCTGTGCTATCACCCTCCATTGAAGACACTTATCTTCTGAGCATTTAAAGAAGTTGAAGGCTTGATGTTCTGCCTGGACTACTTCAAGATTCTGGATCACTGAATAGTTCACCCCAGTTTTCAACCTAGGGTATGGACAAACATACACTTGGAATGGCTTCAAAAAGGGGAAGGAACTATTGCTCAGGACTGTACAACAGCTGTTATGCTCTAAGTATTACTTGTGCATGAGCAATGCAAGTGTAGCAAAAATATTCCAACTTTAACCCTGCTGCATCCAGGGTCAAAGTTGGGGCAGTTGACCATACTGGTATTGCTGCAGGATAACGCACATGAAACGGTTGCAGTGCAGTTCCTCCTTCCCTTCTGAGGCTGCTCCAAGTGCATGTTTGTCCATACCCCTAGTCTTCCCTCTATGGCTAGGGACAGAAGTTATACATAAACCAGCTTAAGTGATCAGAAACTGGTTTAAACCTGTAGCAGAACAGAAATTCAATGCTCATAAATCACTTTGAAAACGGCCAAAACTGGTTTAAAATAAACCTGTTTGACTATAGTATCAGACTTAACTGATTTAGGTCAAACTGGTTTACAGAACTTCTGTCCCAGACCCCTTCCTGGTTTAAATTAACTCAGTCCCCCAGCATCCCAGCATGCTTTGCAGCCCTGGGCTGTCTTTTCCAGCAGAGCATGGTTTGCCCCACCCCTCTCCTCCCTTGCCAGAGCATTATCACTGCTCCAGCTGGCTGAGAAGGGAGTGGGGGTGGGAAATCCTGTTCCAGCGGCAGGAGCAGGGGGTGTGAACAGATGCCAGCAGCCTGAGGGGAACACGGGGTTTAATCCCTCCTTCTTTCTGTCTCCCACTACCATGGGACCCCAGCCAGGGTCTGCCTGACTTTTACCCCCCACTTGCCATTGAAACCGTGAGAGCGGGGGCATGGCCAGAGCCTGGCCCCGGGCCTATGGCAAAGTGGGGGAGGGATAGGGGAAATCACAGAAGTGGGGCTCGCAGGGACCTCCAGAGGTCCTCTAGTGTCTAGTCCAGCTCCTGCCTGAGCTCTGGCCAGACCCTCCTGTAGAAACACCATCTAAAGAGCAGAGGGTTTGCTCACAGTGCCCACAACTGCAAACACCCACTAGCGGGGCTCTGTACTGCTGGGGATATGAGCCAACTAGGGCTTTCTGCAACCAGTTTTCCCCCCGTCCTACAGTGGGGCCCAGTGCTGCACCCCTCCAGCCCTAAGTCCTGGGGTAATGCTGCACAGAGACCCTCCTCCCCCAGCCCCATGGCAGGAGATAAGGAGGAAGGGAAGAGCCCTGCTCACTGCAGCAGCTTCGTACCAGGCCAGCCCTGCCTGGGCACAGGGAGCCAGGAGCAATCCAGGAGCACAGCTCCTGCAGCCCCAGCCCAAGCCGCAGCTGGCTGGGAATGGCCTGGTCCCACCATCTGCCCATCTCACCTGGGCCTGGGCCGGCCCAGGACAATTTCACAGGTCCTGCAGCCGCAGCCAGCTGGGAAGCGTCTTGCATCCACGGTCCAGCCCAGCCCCTCCATGCCTTCCCTCAGCAGTGCCCGTGGCCTGGCCCGGCCCAGACCCATAGACCCTGCCCCAGTCCCAGTGCTGGGCAAGGTGGGCAAATGGCAGGGCCAGATCAGGCCAGGCTGTGGTGGCAGAGCCCTTCCCAGCTAGCTGAAGCTCAGGCTGGGGCTCCAGGACCTGGGAAACTGTCCTGAGCTGACCTGGCCTGCAGCCCCAGCCTCAGCCCCGGGTGAGACAGGCTGATGGCGGGGCCAGGTTGAGCCATAGGGGCAGGGCCCTTCCCAGCTGGCTGTGACTCAGGCTGGGGCCAATAGAGCTGCGTGACTGGATTGCTTCTCGTTACCTGTGCCCAGGCTGTCAGACAGCTGCTGTAGTGGGCAGGGCTCTCCCTCTCTGCCTCCTCCCCCACTCTGTGCAGCGCTGCCTCAGGGCTGGAGGGGCACAGCACTGGGCCCCTCAGCGGGGAAGAAGGTGGGGAACCAGCTGCAGGAAGCGCTTGGTGGCTTTTTCCTCCAGCAGTACAGAGCCCCCTGGCAGGTATTCTTGGTTGTGGGAGCTGTGAGTAAACCCTCGGCTCTTTAGATTGTGCTTCTATGGGAAGGTCTGGCCAGGACTCAGGCAGGGACTGGACTAGACACTAGAGGACCTCTGGAGGTCTCTGGCAGCCCTGCTTCTCTGCAATTCTCCCCTTCCTTCCCCCCGCTTTGCCTCAGGGCTAGGGTGTGGCCATGCCCCCCTCTCTGGTTGCTTGACCCTTCGTTGCTAGCTGGGGGCTGATTCTTGCCATGCTCCCTCCCCGCTGCCACTGAAAGCCTGGCAAGGGCTGCTTCCCCCCACCCCTCCCAGGCACACTCTGCTAGGGTTCCTGCAGGCTAGGGTAGGGATTTAAGTCCCTCCCCAATCATACTGAGGCCTGCCAGGGCCTGGCAACACCGCCCCCCGACTGTCAGCTCAGCTCCTTTCCAGCCTTCAGGCCACTGTGGAAGGGAAGAGAGGGCTTGCTGTAGTGCCCCTCCCCCCCAAGTTGTAGCCTGAGCCACTGAAGGCATGTGGCTGCATTTCCAGAATCAAAAGTGAATGTCTATTCCCTTGCTTCCCAGTTCAATCTACACAAGTTAGACTAAACTGCAAAAAGATTGAAATGATTCAGGCTTGGGCTTTTTGAATGCCTGTACTTAGCCTATAAGTTCACAATGAAATAAAAGCATACCAGCCCAGCCTCTGGCTTCTTTACTATTCATTCCATCCAGGAAAAGTACACACCAACTGCAGAGACGTCCTCAGCCTGACAAAGGGTTTTTAAATCTGAAAGCTTGCTAAAAAAATTTTTCCAACTATTTCAGTTGGTCTAATAAAAGATATCAGATTCACCCAAAGAACCTTGTCTGCCTATATCCTTAGACTAACATGGCTACAACCTACACCCAATGAAATAAAATACATTTTATGTTGAGTGCAGAGATAAATAAACATATACTTTTAATTTTGGGAAGCCCTTGGACACCATGGGCTTTCTACCATACAAGAAATATAATAAGAATGAAGATAAACAAGTTCAGCACACAGGAACTAAAACAGGTGACTCAGCACATCATCAAAAATATTTTGTCTGCACTAATACTTAAATCCTCCCTAGCTGCATAAAACTCGTGAATAGGCATTATGCCAAGAATTTGTTGCAGTAGTTTGGAAGGGAAAAAAACCCTGTCTTTGCCCCGGGCCACTGAGTACCAGTAGCCAAGAGACTTAGGTTTCATAGTTGGTAGGGTTGGAAGGGACCTGAGCAGATCATCAAGTTCAATCCCTTTCCGATCCCAGGAAAGAATGCTGGGACCAAATGACCCTGGCTGAAAAACTGCTAGAGCAGTCTACGGACTGCAACGGCTCACTGACAAACTGAGGGGGGATGGTGCTTTTAAGAGGGCTTGTCAACAGAGTTGGTCTTTGGACTCTGAAAAGAACAATCTCAGCATTTTTTTAAAGAAAGTTACCAGATAATTTCTAAACTAAACCGCATGTTGCTGACATTGGTTAGATTAGATCCCTGATTAAAGAAACAGGCAGCCGTATTCTGTTACTGAATACAGAAGGATGGGAGTGAAGAAAGTCTTAAAATTACACTGTCTCTCATAGTCATAATTTTTTTCCAAATCAAGTCCCTAACATTTAGTCTTCTCCCATTATATTCCCATCCATGCCAGTACACATTCTCATGTGACCCCCTCC